CGCACAATGAACTCCTGTCTGCTGAAAAGACTCAGGATTTTTTGGAAGCCACCAAACAGGCCTCACTGCATTTGGAAAGCCAAATTAAGCCTCTTTTTGTGGTGGGAGGGTGAGAACGCCCGTTTCCTTGAGGCATCCTCTTTTAGCCCTCTTTAACAGGGTGTGAAATCAGCACCACGTAACAATTAAACCATCCCCGGGTGACCCACACAAAAGGCAGCCTGGAGATGCATTGTAAATGTGATACTCCTTGGGATTAAAGGCTAAAAAAAACCCTCCCCAACAAGCTGGCAGCTGTGGAGTCTGGTGCCCGGGGCGTTACAGTAACAGGTGCACCCGAGGAGGAGGGAAGCATCCCTGCATTAAAGCACCTGCTTCTGCTGACCAAGCAGCTCTGCCGTGCCACTCCCCCAACCCCTTTCCCAGATCCTTCCCGCCTCCTCAGGGCTCCCATTAGGCTGCACACAATGCAAATCCGTGAGGTCTGGAAGGAGGCATCACAACCCATTAAGCTTCCAAGGGGAGGCTACAAGGGAATGTTTTAGAAGCCTGGAAGGCAGGGCCCTGTTGAAGGACTGCCCCAATGGCAGACGATGCATGTGATAAACAGGGAGCGAGACAAGAAACCCGGACGGAGGAGAGGAAAGAAAGAACTTATTGGGAAACCATCTAGCTTTTAAACACAAGGTGTGTGTGTGTAAAACTAGACAAGAGCCAGAGGATGCCTAACCCCACCACAGTGACACAGCACATGCCTGCCATGCTAGATGGCAAAGCCCTTTCAATCACCGCTCTGTGCCTCCAGTGAGTCACAGGGCTGATTCACATCTAAGTTCCTGCTCAGCTGACAAAGATTTGAGGGACTGGAGATGCGGTTAGGAGCTCACAGGCCCAGCTCCCAGCACACTACGAACCAACTGCATTGCAGAAGGGTGGCAAAAAGGGGCACAGTTTGGATAATTGCATCGCCAGTGCGCTTATGGACACATGCTCTAACCGGTTACAATCAGTGCACAGGCCAGGTTACAATCAGTGCACAGGCCAGGTTACAATCAGTGCACAGGCCAGGCACAAAGGCCTTAGGGCTTTGCACATGTCTTCTTATGTATCTTCTGGAAACAGGAAACACATGAGCTCAGCTCAAAGATGCCAGTTAAGGTATTTTGGGTCCCCCCCCCCAGATGCGCTTTGAAAAATCCTTATCTCGCCCCCCCCCCATAAGCTACATGCAGTTTTGACTTGCATCAGGTTGGGGGTGGGGTGTGGGTTGGGGAAAGAGAAGATAAGCATAAACAGAGACAACAGCAGAATGAGCTTTACCAGTGTGCGTTCTGATGTGGCCCTGCAGCAACCACGGCCTGGAGAAAGCCTTGCCACAGATCTTGCAGACGCAAGGCAGGGTATGGCTTCGGATGTGCATCTTGAGCGCTCCCAGGCTGACGTATTCCTTCTCACAGTACTTGCAGCTGAAAGATTTCCTGGCCTGGGAGTCACAGTGCAACTGTCTGTGCTTAGAAAGGCCGGCAAAGGTCGAGTAGGATTTGCTGCACTGGCTGCAGTGGAATTTCTCGGCCTCGGTGGCAGAGGAGACCGGGCTGGGCGGGTCGGAGGTGGTCTTGCCATCCTCTTCTTCGCTGGACAGGGAGGTCAGGTCCAGAGGCTTGGAGTCAGGGCTGGGGGGAGACGCGGGGGTCTTCTGGTACTCCTGCTCCGAAGAAGCGAAGAAATTGGAGAGCAGGCCCGTGTCCCATACAAGCGGAGGGTAATAGGGGGCGGCACTCAGAAGTTCTGGCTGGGGGACAGACAGGGAGTACTTCTCATATAAAAATGGGGAGATGATCACTGCGGGGAGGAAAAGGTTACAGAGTGAGTGCCCAGACCCTGGACGCAGCAGAGGGGCTAGATCCGGCATCTATGCCAAGCCAGAAACTTTGCTTTTGCATGGAGGGTCAGCCCCCAGAATCCCTCTTTGACACCAGGAATCATTCACAGAACATGCCATTCACACCATCAAGGGTCACCCCACCAGGAAGAAAGGTGGGATATACAAAAAAGTAAGTAATTCAAATAAACCGGAGTTTATTTGAGCAAGTGCTCCCATTGGGCAGAACAGCAGGGCACAAACATCGAAATGAAATCAGAGCCTCTTTTTCTCCGGCTGCAACCAGTTACTCAAGAGCCGGAACTGGGAACCAGAGTTTGTTTCTTTGCCATCCAAGTCACGGCTGACTTAATGGCAACCTCTTCTGGGGTTTTCAAAGCAAGAGACCTTCGGAGCTGGTTTGCCTTCGCCTGCCTCTCTGTAGCGACCCTGGCATTCCTTAGGGCTCTCCCACCCAAATACTGACCAGGGCCGACCCATTACTGTCCGAAAACTCAGGGCTAGCCTGGGCAAGCCAGGTCGAAGCACAGACAACGTAGCGGACCCAATTCCGAGGCAAGCCAACTCCGGATGTCAATTTGCCCGTGACCTACCCCCTCCCCCGCGGCAAATCGTCGCCCCCCAGTACCGGAGTTACTGAACAGGCGACAGCCCCCAAAGTGCATTCCGGCCCCACGCCCTCTCCGAGAGTCCACGTGGCTTGTCCCCGCCGCATCCCTCCACCCACCACCTTTCCCCCGAGCGCCGCGTACCGGTCTGGCTCTCCAGCTCGCTGTAGTTGGGCTTCTTGCTGGCGGAGAAATGCTTCTTGACGAGGAAGGAGCGCGGCATCCTGCTTGGCGGGCTCTGGCGCCGGGGCGGGAAGACGGGGGGGCTGGCGGCGCGGCTCCGAGCCAAGCGGCGGGCGAGGGCGAACTTGTGCGTGGAAAACTCTCCCCGCTCGCTCGCTACCAGGATCTGCACGGCCCGGGCGCCCGCTCGGCCGCTCATATGGGCCCAGCGGCAGGGGGCGAGGTGGACACGCCCCCCGTGTCACCGGGCAGCCAATGGGCCGAGGCGGGGAGGGGCCCGGCCGCTGGGGCGCGCTGCTAGCAGGTGCTCGCCTCGCGAACCCCCCGCCCCGCCCGCCCCCGCCCGGACGAGGAGCCAGCGTCCAGCTGAGCCACCGGACGCTCCGGCCCGGGGGCGGAGGAGAGGCGCCTGCACAAGTTAACCCTTGTCCTGGCTCGGAGAACTGCAGCGCCCGGGTCGGGTTGCAAAAGCCGGGCGGGAGGGGGAGGGAAGGGCTGGGTCGGGGGGCAAGAAAACCCGTCTGATTTAATCACAAGTGGAATCGAATAAGAAGACAAAAGGCCCATGGCTTCACACGAATCGAATCGAGATGCACGCTTGGGAGTTCACAACTTTCATCATGCTGATGTTAATTGGCCTGATCCAACATTGGCTTCTCCTATGTTCTTATGTGCAATGTCCGGGGGGCGGGGTGGAGGCAATCGATGCCCCGCTGGCCGAGAGCTTTGCAGAAGTCAAAAGCTTGCACAGAGTGTCGTGTCCTTTTGGGCCGTACGTTGTTTTGCTTTGGCGTTTTGCAATGGACAAAAAGGTACCTAACGGTTTTTGCGTTGGGCCTCTGGCCTAAAGAAGTGCGCGAGTGTGCAGCTTTAATGCGGCGCCTGCCCTTGTTCTCTCCTTTCAAACACCAAGGTTGACGTTCTTTTGAAATAAAGACATGTCACTAATAAGTGGACGGGGGCATGGCCGAAAGAAAGGAAGGGAGTCCCGCTTAGCGGCAGGCAGGCAGGGGATTCTCTCTGAAAATTCGAGGGAACAAAGATTTGGAAGCGCTGAAGTTTCGCGGACTGGGCGGCCTGTCGCCCGCGTCTCTTTCC